TGTCCAAAATGCAACCCAAGTGCAGATCCCAGCTCTTTGCCTCCCAGTTCCCTCAGAASAGAAGCAGGTCTGGTACTCTTTGCCCCATCCTGGTCTCTTCTGGAGTGGCACGTGGGCTCAGGATGCCCCAGCCAGCTCCACATCAGGGCCAGGCACCCTGAGCATGTCACACCACGTGTCACATGCCAGCACAAARTGCCAGCTTGGAGGCCTCTACTGCCAGCAGATATTAGGGAAAAGGGKTCAAAATGGGAGGTGGGATGAGACAAGCAGACACAGACACAGACACACACATRCACACAYYGGGATCACGTTGTTTGCAGGGAAAAGCAGCCTGGTGACACACAAATGGGCAGTGGTTATAAYTCAAAACACTGCAGTGAGGCACTGCAAACCACCCCGTTATAGGSGCTTCAACTCTGCTCAGACAGAGGGATGCAAGTGAGGGATTTCAAGGGAGCAGGGAGCTGTATTGACATCTCYTTGTGCAGCTGTGTAATGATAGCAATGGCTCACACACCCTGCACAGCCAYGCAGCCCCTGGGAGCCAAGGGATGACGTTCCCAAGCAGATGAGAAGCCATCAATATTTTTCAACATGTTGCACTGCTGGCCTAAGGAATGCATCTGCATGTACTACTGAGATTATGTGTGAAACAGGAAGCTACAGCAGCCTATTATTTTTGAATCTGTTTAAACCAAAGATAAAACATAGAAAATGTACAGAAGCATCTAAAGCAAGGCATACTACAAAAATTACATTAAAGAAGCACATAAACAGCATACAAACACATAAAAAAGGACTATAATTTACTGGATCTGTCCCTCCCATGAAAAAATCTAGAATGAAATGTGGTCATGTGGCAGACACTGCTTCAATGTCACATAGCCTGCTCTATCCTACCCTGGTTAATCTCTCCTGAGAACAGAAACATTATCCCTAAGAAAGGGACATCTCTATRCAGAGCTAATACCACTTCTCCCTGGTGTGGCAGCAAAAGAAAAGTCAATGAACASGAGATGGTGCTGGGGAACACAGAACAGAAGAAACTTAGAGGCAGGAGAGTAGGAATTATCTTTGAGGGGGAAATGAGCTTTTCTTGTCTTGCTTCGCTACATGATCTTCACCTGTGACACAAGACAGACTTCCAAGTGACAGCTCAAAATAGTCTTGTAAACGTGAAATATGTTAACTCTCTAAAACTTACAGCTGGGTGAAAGACACATTCAGTGTTACCAGACTTTCATGCTGACATACCACTCAGCTACTTTCTTTTCAATACCTTGGTTAAAAAAAAAAAAGGTGCAGTTCATCCAATTAAAATGTGTCTTCCATATATGTTTTAGCACAAGGAAGCCAGACAAACATTCCCATGTACAAACACAAAAATATATATGTATTTTAATTTTCATTTGGTCATATTTTATTTAACAGAATGTCATTCTTCCTCAATAACTGATGATGATGATTTAAAGTAGTAGCACTCTCCAAAGCAGCCTATTGATCACAGAGAACTGATGATATTTAAATGTACAATATAAAGAGTGRCATTTCACAAAGTTGTTTCATCTTCAGATTTTGGTTAGAACACAACAGACCAAAATTAACCATTTCACTAGGTCCAATAAAATTCCAACTGACAACAAGTTGTGAAAAGAGAATAGTTATTGAAACTGTACAGAGAAAGAACATGATTAATAAACTTGTCCTGGCTTTACAAATCTCAGACCCCCTGAGTCCTAACAGTACTAAACTGAGAAAAACAAATTTTATCCTGAGGATACAAGCACTGTTTTTAAATTAGTCCTGTAATTTAATTTTGAATTTTGCTATGGTACTGTATTTTCCATAAGGCTCCAAAGTAGATTGCTGCATGCAAAAAGAACACTGTTCACTAGTTACTGCTATGCAAAAGCTACAGATCAYGAGAGCCTTAAGGCACAGATTGCCAATCCAGCAATTTTAGAYGTCGCCATGACTAGCTGTTAAACATTATTCTCATAACAAAGCTGTATTAATAGATTGTGTGAGTGCTTTTGTGTTTGCATGAGTGCAGAATCAACAGAGTTAASATGATTTGTGCACAGCCTTCAGTGGGACATGAGTACTTCCATAATTTGCTGTTGATTACATGTTGGGGCAGTAATTTCTACAGGAACAGTGACAACTAACAGTCAGGGGAAGGCAACATCTTAAATCAGGAGAGCTGTCTCAGGTAACTATCTGTCTACACCTGTGCAGACCCTTAGACAGACTCTTGATTTGTATTCCTCTATGATGTGATTGGACTTGGTCTCGTTTTCCATTTCACCCTGTTAGCCAGAGATTTGTACAAGGGAAATATTTCAAACACTGGTCCTCAAGATCTAGTCTGCAGATTATCAGTGTGTTGGGTTTTTTTTTTAGTTTTCTTCAGTTATTCATAGAATGAAGTACACACAGAAGACAGGATGCTGTTGAGTGCAAGAGGGTAGGGGGAGGGATGAAGAGCTGGGAATGTTAGGCAGAACACATTTCACACAACAACTGTCCATAGGGTGAAAGAGCTAGATAAGCAAATGATTTAAACGAGCCATTATTCTTAAACAATACTAGCAAACTGCAAAACAATTTTTTTAATAGTGTCAGGTAATCTAAATGTGCTCCTCCAAGTCTGTTCATTTTAGAATGCCATTTTCTACTATTTAATTCCTTCTACCATTGCTGCACCAAAAATGCACATGGATGTCAGGGACAACCATGCTTAAAGGAAAGTGATTATACACTAAGTCCCATCAAGGATATAATGCAGCCAAACCCTGAAAGTCTTTAAGGTACCATAATRTTAGGCATTACTTGTAACAATCACCAATTTAATATTCTTAGGCATTAAATGTAATGCTTAAAGTTGTCAGTTTCCTTTAAATCATCTCYGCTCTGAGTGACTAATGGCTACAATTAACATCACCAGCAGCACTGTTTAAAGACACGGGACACAGATCACCAGCTACAGCTCGAAGGCTGCATAATTAGCACAAGACACCGAGGTTTGCAGGGGAGATTCCCACACYACTAACACTCACAGCTTTCCAGAGTAGGCGCTGATGCTGATGTCAGGGYGAGGCAGGCTGTAGAGCAAGCAATGAATTCTCCTACAGAATTTTCTCTGCAGCAGGGTCTTCCAGAATACATCCCTCTCTTCTCTTCCCATGGACAGTTTGGGGGGCTCTACCCTTCCAGCTCCTGCAGGCTACATGATATCCACATCCTGGGAGCTACTGTGGCAGCAGCAGCAGCAGAGGCACTTCAGGTTTAGCATATGCATCAGGTTTAAATATACCAAAATTGAGTTTGTGTGGGAAAGCGAGAAATGTGTTATCTTTCCTTCCTGATGACAGATGCATCATGGAGTTTGTGAGTCCTCTCTTATGCTGCTGATCAGGGAAAAGTCTCTCTCACTATTAAAATGGTCAACCAATTCACTCCAGCTCCCTAATGTTGTTTTCTCCATAGCTGCCAGCTTTCCTTAGAGCCATGGGACTCCTTACATTCTCTCCCTCCACAACTTCTTCAGCCAGGCAGGACCCAGCACTTCACGTATTCCTGGGACCCATCTCCAGGTGGGGATTTGGTGTCATGTTCTGATCCCATAACAATATTCACAAGCTCAGATACAGCACCTACCATTTCACATGGTAACTCAAACATTTCCCAAGGATTCAGGAAACTCTGTCATGGCCATGCATGGCAGACCATGTGAAAAACAGAAACTTTGCTCATAAGGTAGAAGGGGAGAGTCTAATAGGCTATTCATTAATTTCTTGGAAGTGTTAATGCAAATTCTATCACGTCATTTTTGCCATTCATGCAGGTTTCCACTGCAAGCTTCTTCTGTTTT